AACGAAGACGGAGAATAAATTGAAGGTGGAACGTGCGCATAAGAGGCGATAAATTTTTGCAGTTGGAAGTGACAAATACGATACAGAGGAGGACAGAGGCTGGAGGAAGTGTTATCGGTCGGAGGTGGAGGCACCGGTGAAACTTCATCTAACCGGTGGTGACCATTCGAAATCGTTTTATCGTCGATCGTCGGTTTCAGACCGTAATTACCATTTCAAATGCTCACCTCGGCCTCACCTGAGCCCACTTGTTGGCTCGGCGCGCAACTTCTCGTCCCGTTGCGTTGCACCGGGTGGTCTTTTCGGGTTTCAGAGGACGGCTCTGTGATGGCTCTGGCCCGAAAGTGGGGGTTATTATTTAGTTTGCTCGCTTCTATCTCTCATCTGTTCGCTCTCCGATCCCTCTGTCGCTTTCTGTTCCTCTCCGTTCTCGTACACACGTATCTCTCTATACATGTAGTCCCTTTCTTTTTTCTTTCCCTCTCCGTTCAGCTTCAACGTGCATCCACACCCACGTCTATTCTCATTCTAATCAGCTCCGACGCCTTTTCTTCGGGCCTAGGCACGCATCTCTTTGCTTCTTCGCGGCCTCTCCTGCGCTCGATGAAGTCTCGGAGAAGCCCATACTTGCTGGCATTATTATTTTAGTGCTCCGTTCGCGTACTGAACTCTGCTCTGCGGCCGCCAGCATATGCATCCTCCTCAGCACACGTATCAGTGGTCAACACGATGTCAGTTTGCCAGTGGTGCTCATAGTCTGATAACAAACAGTTACATACTGTCTGTTCGGTGGTTCCTACCGTTTGTAGGAACGTTAGAAAGTTGACGCCTTATTTTAATATTCGTACGCGTTCCCGTTTTACAATTACAATCATTTCTCCTTCTCCTTCTCGTCTTCTTCGTTTAATTCAGAGGTGTGATTTACATTATCGTTGCGGACTTAGCGGGGTCCGTTTAACGACCCGCCGGGGCGACGCTCAAATTAATCTGCCTGAACTGCTAAAATTATTGCCGATGTGGCAAAAATTTATTAACGGAAAATGGTAACATATTGCCTTTAATAAATTAAGTTTGACACCATTGATCGGCGAACCAACCACCGCCGCGCACGATTGTGGGAAAGGCAAAGTACCGGTTCGCGGTTTTGTTATCAATCACATCCACGTGCTTCTAACCGAATCAGTATACCGACGTCGTACAGTTGCGTTGATTCATGATCGAGACACATCGTGTAATGAAAATTACGACGACGATGACCACGACAACGAATCGAACCGCGCCAATCGGCTTTCGGATCGACTTGAAAGAAATCGGACGATCGATTTCGCAGCCCTAGCACGGCCAACCATTCTTCATGCATAGTTTTCTCCAGGCTGAACCAGAGATCGATTAGCATGCAGGTAGCCTCGATCTGATGATGACTGTACAGAGAAGCCGGGGTTCGGTTAGTGGTACGCGAAAAATCGTAAAATGCGTATCAAATGGAAAAATCCAGGAACGTGCCGCGGCTCGTACGAATAACAAGCGATAGCCACCTCGGCAGCGCCTATAAATGGCCATTTCTTCAGTTCCCGTCTGTCTTTCGCGGAAACGTTCGCATCGCCGACACACGGCCGACTTCCAACGATCCAGCCCCATATTTACGAACCAGAACCAGAAGAATCGGCGGGATAGCTCGCGGTAGATCCAATGCTAATGACGAGCTCAAAATATTTATGCCTTCTGTTCATCGGTTCCATATTTGCAAAGACGATGCGTAGGGAAATGTGTGTAGCGGGACTGCGCTCTAGATGTGTATTTGCGCGCTGCAGTTTCAAGGATAGCACTATAGGTCTTACAGATCGTTAATATTTATTGTGTGTCAAATAAAGAACAAATTTAATTGTTATTCTTCCTTTTCATCCAGCGTAATAGCAAATTTAACGAAGAATGCAATAATTCTCTAAGGGATTGAACATTTTCTCAAAGATTACGTGGCATCGACGAAAGTGCGATTACAAATTCCAGGATAAATCCCAAAGTTTAGTTGTCTCACGAGACACCGAGAAGACATTAACAAGTAATATCGAACTAAGTGCTTGTAGTGTTGCGTGAAAATATACAAATACGAGGGAACGTTTCACGCGAAACAAGCGTGACGCTTTCTTTCGTAACATACGATATCCGTCGGTATGTACACCCGTTTGCCGGTGCTTTGTAAGCATACAACACGTTGGGCACGAACGAGGAATATCGCGTCGCATTTATAACCACGCGAACGAAAGAAACATGGTGCAGCGTACCTACGATTTCGCGTGATGATGTTCCACGCGCGGTTCTTTCGCCCCAATCGTCGTCTCATTTCGTATCGTTTAAGCCCGGTTATTGTCAGCCCGGTCTTTCGAAGTATCCTGGCTTCAGTCGCACGTCGAGAGCTCCCACGAATGGGTAAAGTAGATCGGCAAGAGGACGCAAGGCTGTTAATATACGAGCCTGTGAGAATCGAAGGAGAGACTGGGAAGAGTATCCGAGGAGGTGTATATACGCGCGCAGGGTGTATATAACGTAGCACCGTTTGTGTGCCCAGTTAATTACTCGCGTAGTAAATTATCGGGTAATGAGGTGCCGGGTTCGAGCCTGGGGCTTTCTCATCTTCCTTCTCCCTCGAGCGGAACGGTGCTTCTCGCGAGACGATCTGCCTCTCGCCTCTCTCCCAAAGCGGACAAACCCCAAAGGAAAGAGAGAGAACTAATAAATCCGCCAGGGTCGTGAGGAGGGGGATATTGTTAGTTGTAAGGTAAATCATCTCCGCACGGCTCAAAAACGGCCTCCTCACCTCGGAAGAACCCTCCACCGTGGCCCTTCGTCCTCCTCCTCCTCCTCCT